TGTTTGTTAGCGTTTTTGTTTCTTGTTTTTCTATTTTTGTTTTATTTTTTTTTTAACTAAAAATTAAAACTTGTTTAATATATTGTTTTTGTTTTTAAAAAAATGAAATTGATTTAAAAATTTACAAAAAGTTGAAAACACAAAAAATTGTTTTCATTTGTTTTTAAAACAAGTTTTCAATGTCTCCTCTCACCTACCACCTTCAACCACCACCCTCCATCCACCGACCACCGCCGGCCAACCTTCGGCAACTCTTCAGAGGGTGGACAGTCATCATTGGGATCTTTAGTTACCTTTTGGGATCCTTCTAGTCATCTCGTGTCCCTTGACAATTTCTGACCACTAACTTTGGTGTACATCTTCTGTTACTTGTCACTACCGATCACCACCTCAATCTACTCTCCATCTTCGGGCACTATATCCAACGACACCACAAGCTATTAGTAATTTTTTAATTTTTTGATTAAAATATAAGGTAATAAAATTTGGCTTGTTTAGGATGACTTTTTTATTTTTTACTAAAAGATAAGTAAAACGTAAAGAAAAAAAAGAAATATTTGATTTTTTTGTATCGTTTGTTGAATTTTTAACATTTTTAATAATTTTTAAAATTTTAAAGTAATGTTTGGGAGATCTTAATAACTAAAAAAAACAACAATGTTTTAGTAGTGTTTTTGGAGAATGCAAACTTTACCTCCACCAACGCCTCCCATCAAATCAATGATGTGTAATGGCAATATCAATATTTTGCTAAATTATAATAATAGTAATAATTATATTTTAATACTACAAATAATCCGGATCCATCTTCCTCTAACTCCAATTTGATTTTGCAAGTTCAAATGCTAAATTAACAGAGTTGGGTTTGTCATGTTCAATGTGTGAATAGAGAAGTGAATGCTTGCTGAGATAGAAGTTTAATCATACTCTTTGAGAAAGGATGGAAACAGATCCAAGTGGAGACAGACTGAATAAAAACAGTAGACTTCATTATCAAGGGACCACCAGGAGAATTTCCATTCCGGGCTCAAATTGAAGACGCAAGATTTTGCTTCATCGACCACGATTTTGCTGTTTGAATAATCTTCTGTATAATAAATGTATAAATTAAATAAATAATAAAATAAAATAATTTAAAAAATAATTACATAAATTATTTTCCCAATAAAATGTTTGAATTAATGTCGAGACTTATGTTAGACACAATCTTTTTAAAATAGATTTCGCTCTCGCTCCGGTGTTTAGAGTTTTATCGGCGTTTATTTCCCAGGATGCAACGACTAACACTTAAATTTGTAGCACTACAAATTTAAGTCTAGCGAACCAAAACTCTGTTGTAACTCACTCTTTTTCTTCTTGAAAAATAAATGCAGAAACAGATGCAAGAGCACAGGAAGAACAAAAGAAGAATGACGAAATTCTGAGAGAAAAATTTTATGAAATGAATTGCTGGAAGCAGGCTTTATATAAGTAGAATGGTGGCTATTCCAAACAGGTGCCGACAAATAGGCAATTGTTCGGATAGATTTCAATAGATAGAAAATCTGTTTGAACTGTTCCAGATCTGTCCGAGAAGGCTTCAAAAGGTTCAAACCTATTCAGATGAACGAAAAAAATTTGGACCAATTTATTTTGAATTTTGAAACTAAAATTAAAAATAAATAAATAAATTACAAATATTTTTGACCCAAAAAGATAAATATTGGGGCGAACAAGCCCAGCCCAACCCAACCTCACATTATGCACCTGCGCCCAGGCCTAGCTTGGACGGACAGCGGTGGCGCGTGGTTTTAGTTTTGGATTCCAATGGGTCTAGCCCACTTCACTCATAACCTTACTCTTTCACAAACTTGGGTACCCCTTGGGGCCCATCTCAAGTATCCCAAGTCAAGGTATATAAAACCCATTCAAAACCTTAAATCTTTTCAATGTAGGATAAGCATATTTCACAAATGTGTAGGAAACCCACCTAAACTCATTTCCACGAACCAAAAAATGTGCGTTGAATTCTCATTCATCCGGAAATGGTTTTGAGCAACCAAGTACACGATTTTATTCACTACGCAGCATTAAACATGAACCCAATTAGAAAATGTTAAAAATAATGTTTGGGTCTCACCTAAATTAATGCTAAAAGTTAATAAAAAATAAGATTTTTCCAAAAGTTTCAAAAGCCATTTTTCAAACAAAAATTTGAAACAAATCAAACAAATAGAATAAATTAACTTATAGAATTTACTGAGAATAGTAAGAGTTTCGAAGATCAAATTAAGTGTGTGATACTTTATCCTTAAGATAGATTCGATGCCTCACAAGTGCTTACAAAATAATGGTGTCTATCTCCCAAGATATAATAATAAAAAAAATGCAGATAGAAGTAGCACTACAATCTGAATTGGTGCAAGTTTGAACTGCCAGAGATGAAGAGACGTGACATGAACAAAGAGGCACTGTTTCAGATTTGAAAATTCAAATTCAAAATTTATCGCAAAATTGTTGAATTAATTTGTTTCAAAAATGAAACTTTTCTGCAAAAATTTAAAAATTTTCAAATGAATTTTCTCCAAAAAATTAAACGTATGACCCATAACCCACACCGTACACCCCTAGCCTGGCTCAACTGGTTGGCGGTGCGCCTGTGTGGTTGTTGAATTCAAAGCATGTTTGGTCTATAATTTCCTCCCCACAAAACTTAGGTACCCCTTGGGGTCTATCCTAAGTTTGCCAACTTGGAATTTATATACTCATATAAACCCTTATTTCAACGTAAGACAATACAAATAAAATAACCCACATTGTCTCTTCAACTTCAAATTTTACGAAATCAAAATTGATGTCAACTTCTCATTTACTCATAAAATGATTTTGACGAATTGATTTCGAGGTATGACTTATCACGCAGCAAGACACACGTCAGCACTCGGATCCATCTCAAAAGACGTGTAATTCTTACTTAAATTTGAATTCAAAGTTAACCTAGAATAAGTCTATAAAAAAATCAATTTCCAACTTGCATCAAGCATATACTGAGAGAGTCAAACCAATGTGCAGGCACTCTAACAAAATCAGGAGTGGAACAAGTTGAAAACCTAGCGGTCATTGAAGACCCCATGACCTTTTGAGACATCTGCTTATTGCAGATTTACTTTACTAAAATATATAAAGAGGGCTTCGGCCTCATATAACGGTCGGACATGACCCCGTAAACTGTCTTCTACAACGGTCCGATATGACCCCGTAAACTGTCCTTCTACATCGGTCCGACATGACCCCGTAAACTGTCCTTCTACAACGGTCGGACATGACCCCGTAAACTGTCTTCTACAACGGTCCGATATGACCCCGTAAACTGTCCTTCTACATCGGTCCGACATGACCCCGTAAACTGTCCTTCTACAACGGTCGGACATGACCCCGTAAACTGTCTTCTACAACGGTCCGATATGACCCCGTAAACTGTCCTTCTACATCGGTCCGACATGACCCCGTAAACTGTCCTTCTACAACGGTCGGACATGACCCCGTAAACTGTCTTCTACAACGGTCCGATATGACCCCGTAAACTGTCCTTCTACATCGGTCCGACATGACCCCGTAAACTGTCCTTCTACAACGGTCGGACATGACCCCGTAAACTGTCTTCTACAACGGTCCGATATGACCCCGTAAACTGTCCTTCTACATCGGTCCGACATGACCCCGTAAACTGTCCTTCTACAACGGTCGGACATGACCCCGTAAACTGTCTTCTACAACGGTCCGATATGACCCCGTAAACTGTCCTTCTACATCGGTCCGACATGACCCCGTAAACTGTCCTTCTACAACGGTCGGACATGACCCCGTAAACTGTCTTCTACAACGGTCCGATATGACCCCGTAAACTGTCCTTCTACATCGGTCCGACATGACCCCGTAAACTGTCTTCTACAACGGTCCGACATGACCCCGTAAACTGTCTTCTACAACGGTCCGACATGACCCCGTAAACTGTCTGCTACAACGGTCCGACACGACCATACCGTGTCTTCTACAACGGTCTGACACAACCATACAGTGTCTCCTATCCCATTTTTTAATTTTATTTGTCAGCTTATTTTTCTGCTTAGTTATTCTCTCCAAACTCAAGTTGGCTAGTACCTATCCTCCTTGAGTTTGAGGGGGGCTGTTAATGTAAATTGTAAATAGTAAATCACCCACTCCACCTACCACCTCCACTACCACCCACTCCACCTACCACCTCCACGTCACTCCACCTACCACCTACACCTACTACCACATTTTCTTCTATATATAGGAATTGTAAATATAGCAACACATCAATCAATAATACATACAATTTATTCTCTCTCTATCAATTTATCTTACACCTATGAATCCTTGTTGCCTGCCCTGTTGCATCACATTCTCCCCAAAATTATGAAACATCTTGTGATATTTCTTTCATGATTGCCAAAATTAATGGAAAAAAGAATGATGTCTCAAGATGATGAGTGTGGAATCCACAAGTAGAGAGGAAATTTCATTTTTTTTTTTCCTTTCAAATATAGGCTTTGGCTAAGATTGGCAAGTTTTCAGAGTTTATGAGGAAGAGTTTATGGATATAGAAGAAAAGCAAAACCATTGAAATGATTGTTATCCCTAAGGCTATGCTAGGATCATGGATTTGAAGGAATTGGAAATAGAGAAAAAATTTAACTTAAATTTCATTTACATTTTATTCACATTTTCCTTTCCCTTTGCAAATTTCTATCCAAATCTATGATCCAAACAAGGGAGAGAATTGGGATAATTATTGCAATAAGGTTGATGAAGAAGTCTCAGGTTAGAATGTTGGAGTGGGATTGTATGAGAGAAAATTGTGCCTCTCAGTAGGCCCACCCTAGACCCTTTTTTATAAGTTGAATGATTCATTTTATAAAGCTTGTCAAACAGGCCAAAAAAACAGATTGATTGTATATCATTAATTACACGATGAGATCGTATTTGTAATTTAAAAAAAAAAACTAGCATTTGTTTTAGAAAAAATGAATGATCTACTCTCAAAATTCACATTTGCCGTCTATTTTTGTTAAAACAAAGGTGATCCTATTATGATTACTGATCAACGTATTTTTTTTTTTAATGAATGATTTGCTTTGCGACAATATAAGATGAACATCAGGATCACAAAAATGAACCTGAGGTAAGCCCCACCAAAGGAAACAGCAGTGACCCATTCTCTAATTTGTATGACAAACTAAAAGGCAGTCTATGTAAAGAATAGTAGATTCCTTAATATCTTACCAAAAAGCTCCTGTAATATAATATACCTGGTACATTTGCTTGTACAATCTTGCAGCTGATGAGTGTGCCAGCAAGATATGATGAGCAGCAATGTATGGCTCAGTTGAGGAGTTACCCTTAGAACAGTTTATTCCAAATGGAGCAGAGCAGCGCTGAGGGGGTATTCCTCTTATATCATAACCACCAATTACAAATACATTGCCCTCATTCACGGTTGTCCAATGCAAAACCCTATCTCCAAATTCCCTAAAGCAAACCTCAGCATATGCTGTGAAGTCTCCCCTGCATCCACAAATTGGTAATTTTGTTACACATATATTGTACATTTTCTACTTCAATCCAGGCATATACCATAAGCGCAAGAATTAGCGACAGACATTGTTTTAATTTCAAGGACTGGGTGATATGTAATGAACCTTTTTTACATTAAATTACTCTAGACTAGAAGTACTTTAAATTCTTATAGTGCAAACTATACAAACCTACCCCCGATTCATGTTCTAGGTAACACACGATCTTGGAGGGCGAAGTATATAATTCGAAAACAATAACTAATACTACTATAATAAGGGAGTTCTCTAAACGTTGGAGGGAATTTGAGAATCATACACCATTTTCCGACTAAGCCATCCTCCATATTCATCTTCAAGAACTTGAGGTACGTCAATGTGCATTTGATAAAGACAAAATGATATTAATCACAGAGAGAAAAGGAGAGAGATGTCATTTGGTTGGCATTTTGGAAGTACCTTTTCCTGCTTTTACAAGAAAAACAAACTGCTTTGATATTTTCTCAAGTGCTAACAAAAAGTATTGCAATGTTTATAATGGAAATCTCAAAATTGTGAGTAACCGTGTTTGACAAGTTCATTGATGAGGTTGTTGTTTTTTTCTAAACCCTTTGGGTTAACAGGTCCTCTTCCATCTGTAAAAGAGAGTGAGCACAAGCATATGAGAGAGAAGAACCAGAATTTGCTTTTGTATTCTTATCAAGTAAATTACAAGAGAGACAGTTAGGTGATCCTACTAGGGATAAGTCTTGACCAAGATATGGAGAACCTATAAGCCTCCAAGCCTGTTTCCACCATGAGTTAGACATCTTCCTGCAAGAGATTCATGTTCCAAATCACACATGGACCATAAATTTACAATGTTATTCATGTTAAATCAACATTCTTACGTTAATTAAACATAACGTAAACGGATCCTCTATCCCACTCTTTCTTGCCTCCAATCTTTCTGACTCTAATCATGTGATAAAAAAGGGATTTGAGATAAAGAAACAGGGGCAAGTGGGACAGAGGATCCTCAACTATTGCCTATACACACAATTTCGATGAATGTTATGATTATGGATTTAATTTAATCCTTCCACAACCAACCAAGAAGAATGTTTATTCACCCCCAGTATTTCTGTTTAAATTATGGGGTTTGATAAGAAAATAAATAAATGAATAAACTAAAAGAAATCTCTGATCACCTGTTTGGAAGATTAAGGAGGTACAAAAACAAAAAAACAAAAAAGTAAGAAATGAAAAGAAATTATTTTTTAAAACTCATGTTTTGTTTCTCACCAAAAGTGGTAGAGATATTTGGTGAGAAACGGATGTTGATGTTTATACAATTTTTGATATATTTAAATTGTTCAACTAAAGAAAATTAAACCTCACCTAAATGAGAAATCATAATTTTCTCATTTCTTCCCTGGCCTAGTATAACAAACAAATTAGCATGTTATCATTGATTTGAGTAGTATACTCTTCCAAAAAATTGAAATTTTAACAACTGTGTTAAGCCATTTGGACACCCCCTAAAAAAAAAAAAAAAAAAAACAGTGGAAAATAATACATTTTACTTTTCACCATTTTCAAAGAATTTATTGATTTCAGAAAACTTTTAAATATTTTTACTTATTTTTAAAATACTCTTTCATTCCATTTCCAATATTAACAAGTGGCCAAAGGCAAAATAAACAATGAACCCTCCCACATTAGATTCAAGGTCCAACACATCACAAAATCATAACTCTCCAATGATGCACTATAGAGGAAATTATCAACCAATCTTATTAAGGCAGTGGAGGAAGGAAAAAAGCATTAAAAACAAAAGCACCTTGTATTTGTGGTAACCATCACATGCTATGTCCCCAGTGGCTTGAGCTTTCCCTTAAAGTTTGAGTTGGACACATATATATCAATCATTTTGTAGAACTAATTAATATCAATATACATCTGTTAAACGTATAGGCATTTTATTGGAGAATATAAAGTTGGAGCATAATAAAAACTAGAAAACCATCCCAAGCGAAATAAATTTTAAGTAAATTCCAATTTAGATAAACCAAATGACCCAAACTCACAAGTCTCATATTCCGCCAAATTCCATTGTTTTGGAATCAGAAACAAGAAGGAAATCAAGAAAAGTCATTTTCGCCCCCTTAACGCCCTTTTTCGGTTAAGTTTAAAGCGTTTTCGGCTCTCACTCCCAATTTGCACGTGCTAATTACATTCTATTTGTTGTCACAGGTCCTATTTGTCGTGAGAAAGCTGGTTGTGACATTCATACGGTGGTTCGGGAGTTGTTTTGCATTTTCGCCCCCTTAATGTCTTTTTTCGGCTAAGTTAAAGGCATTTTCGGCTCTAATTTCCAACCTACACGTGCTAATTACATTTCGTCTGTTGTTACAGGTCCTATTTGTCATGGGGAAGCTAGTTGTGATATCCATACGTTGGTTCGGGGGCTGTTTTGCATTTTCGCCTCCTTAACGCCCTTGTTTGAATAAATTTTAACAAAGAAAGCTACATAGGTTTGTCTCTAAGTATCCGATTCCTTTAATTTAACCTGATATCCAAGTACATTACAAAATATTCCTATTTCTTAACAAATTTCATTTATTTTCTACAATAGAATGGTGTGCACAATATGCCATAAAGCATTTTATTCCTATTTTTTGTATAGTTTTACGATTAACTCAAATTGGTAAGTATGTTTGTAGGTGAATGTCTAAGTACACATATTGTCTACATATCTCATACTCATATCCTTATCTAAGTATAATGTCTGACAATGATACTCTATACATTTAGAAAAGGATAAATTACACGAACCTCTCCTAAAGTTTACAAAAAATACAAGCATTAATTTCGGTACATTTAGTAAGACTAAATGTACTGAAATTAATACAAATAGTGCAAAGATACATGACACTCCTACCCTCATCATCTCATAAAATCCGCTATGCAGGTAATTTTAGTGTGTAGCACGCAAGTTGGAACTTCATTCATCATGACTAATGCTATACAGTTGGAACTTGAGCAATTTGCTACACAATCAGAAGTGAAAAGGTAGGGGCTTGACACTTTTTGTTAAAAAGAAGGTTCCCATGATATATGACGTAGGATTTATTATCTTAAAAATTCCTCAAAAAAAATCATAAATCAATTTAAAAAGAAAAGCACCCACTACATCGGCATGGGTATGCATGAAAATAAAACAAAATAAGAAATTTCCACAAGAATATATTTTCCTATAAAATCTAGAAAAGAAATCAACAAATCAGAAAACTTCCTGGTTAACCATAGTTGAAAGAAATTTATATGCATATTCAATTGCTGAGTATCCTCCTAGTATAAAAAAAAATGTCCATTTGCCATCCACATACACCACAAGAAGAAAAGGTCAAATATAAAGAGGAAAGATTCAGATTGGGAGAGGTTGATCAATAGCTGAACCCAACCCCTACTTAAGCTGAGGAGTCCGGATCCTCTACAGTGATATTTCCTAGAGTGATCTTAAAGTGATATTTTGGATGACTGACATTTAATTCTACAAAAGTTGAGAGTATAATAATCATTTCACCTTCCAGCTCTTAAGCCCTAACCCTATCACTCTAAGATCATTCTAGGAAAAATCACTCTAGAGGATCCGAACTCTAAGCTGAGGTCAGCTATAAGTTTTTCAACCCGAACTTTACAGATGTGGCCTATAGCCTGTTCAAAAGTCCGGTAGGCCTCTGAGTCCATTGAGCTAATTAATTCACATCCATACTCAAATTGGAACCGAGTTAAATGCATATCCTACATGTGCCACAAATATACTCAAAGTATTCATAGTTGCAATTTCATTCTTCTAAACTTCATAAAAAAATCTTATCATTAAATCCACTATTTCTTAAATCTTTATAATTTGCATAACATGTACTTTATATTGGTAGTTTAAACCTGCTATGAATCTGTAATGTACATGTGTTCACAGATTTTTTAAGTTATATATATTATATCTTAAATAGAGTGGAAATGAACCCTATTATTCAACAAAACATGAGTCTGCACTAGCAAATTCATGAATCCACTATAACATTAGCACAAACATAACTTGCTCTTTAGAAAACCCACATTTGCACTTGAAATTGAGAATTTCATTGCAATTTACTCTTCATCCCTTCCATAAGTCCTATGCAATATAATCAATTAAGAACGTATAATTGATCAAATCAGACATCGACTTAAATTTGTAATGGGTTTTTACAAAGTTAACAAGATTCAAAAACGTCTAGAAATAAACAATTAAAACTAACCAAAATTATCACAAGGTTCCATTCCATCATCATGAGAGTTAATGTCCATTCATGGCTGAGGTTTTTTTGAAACGCCCAATGCATGTTTATGTACCCACCAAATTATGAAGTTTAAATAATGAACACTCCTTGACAGTTGCACATAAAGAATAGGTGATCCTAATAACGGAGGTAAAGTGAATATATACATGGACATATAGTGGTTGCCATCAATTCATGGACATACTTTTGGAACTAAGAAAAAATAAAGAAGTAAGTCATGCATTTCTACCTGTGAAAGGAATGGAACAAACCTGTTTAGCCATGCTACAAACTTTCTCTAATGCATTTAGAATCCCATAGTAGAAAACCGAGAAGTTGAGTGGCAGCCCCAACCTTATAGGGTGAGTTGGAGCAAGATCAGCAACCGCAATATCCTTCACAGTTTGACCAATTAAAAAATAAAAAAATAAAAATTTGTCAATAGCAATTCTTAGGTATATTAGTGAGTAGCACGTAGAATCATCATCAATGAATGCTATTTTACAAATATGCACAGGTCTCAGATTTAACTCTCCTTAGGTTCTAATAAACTCTTTGGAGTCACATTTTAGAAACCCTAAAATGTCCTTCAACCAATCAGAAAAAGGGGAAACAGAGCAGAATGTCCTTCAACCAAACCCATCTTAGAAATCAACATGAAATTTAACTGAATCAAGTATATAAAACCCTAAAGCAAGAATCAGAAAGGGAGGAAATAGAGGAAAGGGGAGAGAGAGAGAGAGAGAGACACACACACACACACACATAGAGAAAGAGCTAGGCAGAGAGAGACTGTGAGCGAGAGAGCTGGAGCAAAAGAAAGAGAGACATGGACAAACCGAGAGCGAAAGCGTGCCCTCGAGAGAGAGAGAGAGAGAGGGAACCTGTGATCTGTGGCTGTGGTGGTGGTGATTTGCAGCGGTGGCGGTGCTGGTGGCCGTGGCCATGGCCATGGCGATGTCCTCCGTATGGTGGGCTGCAGTGAGGTGATTCTCAGTGAGGTTTGGTGAAGGACAGTTTGTGTGTGTGAGAGATTTGAATGTTGTTTTCTGTAATAGAGAAAGGAGCGGGCAAAATGAATTTGGTATTTGGCTCTCTAAAAACTGTTTTGGCTCTAAAAACTTTGAACCTTGGCGACTAATTTTATTGTTTAGTCGGCAAATGAACACTTATTAGCGACTAATTTTCCTTTTGGTCGGAAAAAGTAACATTTGCCGACAAAATCTTTTGGTCGCCAAAGAGTAATCATAAAAATATGCCATTTTTTAGTGACTAACATTTCTTTTGTCGTCAACAAATAATATACGACGACTAAAAAAGGATTAAGTAGCCTAAAATTTAGACAAACAGCGACTAATATACTTTTCAATCGCCAAAAGTAACATTTTTGCCGACTAAAAATAAATTTAGTCGCCAATAAATAATATTTTTCGATTAAAAAATTCTAGTAGCTACATCCTAAACCATTGCTGACTAATATTTTTTTTTAGTCGCCAAGAGTGATATTTTTGGAGACTAAATTTCTTTTAGCCGCCAAATTTCGTCGCCAAAAATACAAATTCTTGTAGTGGTTTATTTATTTATTTATATTTTTTTTATTATATCACATCACTAAAACTTAAATTAAAATTTTAATTTTATATCTCTTAATCACTATTCTTTAAACATTTCTAGCTGATTTGTGGTTTACATGTAAGGCAATTCCTCATGGAAAAAGAAAAAAGAAAAAAGTGAATAATAAAAAAAAAAAAGGACAATTGGATTGACTTCTTTGCAAAAAAAATGAGAGATGCTGTAAATTAAAGAAAAGGACAATTGGACAAGCATTTATACGTAAAAGTCGGCAAGACGTGCTAGTACCGTTATAGAAAACATTAGAATTGTTAACCCAATAATGGAGGTATTTTTATCCACGTCAAAAAAAAAAAAAAAAAATCAAAAGCATTAGATTTGTTTGAACTTCTATTTAACATTCTTTGTTGTAATTGAAATTATTTATTACTTTTTTAACATGTGTTGTAAGATATTTTTAAGTAATATATTTAGGTAAAATTTGAAAAAATGGATAAAATATAATTATATTTCATCTATATTTTATTTATTTATTTCTATTCATTTTTAAAATTCCTATCAATAGGGACGGAGCAAGAAATTAATATTGGAGGTCGAAAATAAGGTATTAGGCAAAGTTCAATTGATTAGATTAGGATAGCTAAGCAATTTAAATAATTATTAAAATTAATAAATTATTATTAAAAATAAATTAATAAACAATGATAATCATCTAAACTTGTTTCAATGACTTGAACTTTAATTACTCACCCCACTATATATATATATATATAAAGGAATTTTGTGTGTTTAAATGTAACATATTAATAAAATTATCATGCATGTTTTAGACTTATTTTAACATGTTCTAGGACTATTTTGGGTTGCCTTGATCACATGCTTCATGTTTTGCATACTTGTAGTACAAGTGCTCTTGCTTGCTTTAAGCTTTGAGCACCATTGCATGCTTCATTTGTGTTGTGTACATGATTTGGCATCATCTAACATGGCATTTCAGAGCTTTTAGCATTGCCATGTTCCCACTTCATTCATGCTTTGAATGCCTTTAAGTGTTGTGCATTGTTGCCTAGTTTATGGCTTAGCTTGTATACTTGCATGCCTAGGTCTTTGAGTCCTCATCTCAGCATGTTTAGGTCTTTGTTTTGACCTACTTGAGCTCTGTCCATGCTTAGTTCATGTTTATTTTCCATGTATTGCATGCCTCCTTTGTAGTCCTCTTTATTAGCTTTCATGCTTTAGGACCCTAGCATGCTTTACTTGCATTGTTTAAGTGATTTGGCATCATTTCTTGTCTAATTTCAGTGCACTTAGTGTTGTCACACTTGCACATTTGTCACTCTTCGAGCCCTCTTGAGGGATGTGCTCTTGGGCCTAGTTGAATGGCCAATGCATTGTGTATGCATACCTTGCTTTTTGTGCCTTAATTTCATCACCAATGGCCACTGATTTGGGCATGACGGAGGTCTACCCCTTTTGGTTTAAGTCCATTGAACATGTTTGATTGCATGTTGTTTGCATGCTTTTATTACATCGCATTGTGTATGCCATGTTCATCGCATTGTGTATGCCATATACTTTGCATTGTGTATGCTTAGGTTACATCCCATTGTGTATGCCATCTTGTTCATTGCATTGTGTATGCCATGTTCTTGGCATTGAGTATTCCATGTTGTTGTTCGCATTGTGCATGCCAAGTTGTTCTTTGCATTGCGTATGTTAGATTGTTACATTGCATTGAGTATGTCATGTAGTTGCATGTTTGCCATGTTATGTGTTGCATTGTATTTGGAATAGGTGTTAGTCCCAACACGGAAAAAGAGGGACGTTTTATACTTGAAGTGATGAAACGTGCCTTAATTCCCAGTTGCCGACGCTTTTGATCATACATGATAGAGTTTTAGGCCTCATGTGTTTACTTATGCATTCATTTTTACATTGAATTGTGCAACTTCGCCTCTCGGCCATCATGTATTGAAATGCGCGATTGGTGGCCTGAGGGTCGAGAACCACACTCCCTTGAGCTCATGACATGATGGGGAGGGTGGTTGTGTACACATCTTACAAATACATTGCCATGCCCTTTCTTGCTCTCTATTGCAGCAAACTGGAATTCAGTAGCAACAACTGGTCGGTCAGCCAGAAAAACTAGCTGGCCGACCACTTTTTCTAGCTTTCAACAAAGAAAGTGGTCGGGAAGTGGCTACAGAGACCAAAAGTGGTTGGCCACCCTCCCACAGGACTCCCAAGGTGAAGTTTCAGCTTTCTGAAGCTTGGTGCAGTGTTCTGAGAACAATTGAGAACAGAGGCAAATCGGGACATCGCATTGGATTTCCAAATGAGGTGACCTGGCTTGCATGCATTCTTCTCCCTCTAAGGCTCCTGATTTACTGCTTTCCTTAGCTGCCATGCTTAGATAGCTAGCTTTTGCTTCGTTTTGTACTTTAATAGTTAATGCGTTTAGCTATTTCAATTTGTTTTATAATAATTAGTTAACTAGGATTAGTTAATTAATTGTGTCGTAATAATTAGCTTAATTAGCTTAGGTTAGCTAGTTAGCTCCTTATTCGGTTCCTCCGTCGAGAGGGTGCAAAGTTGTAATAAGCGTGCGTGTGTGTGATGCATGTCTTCCAATCCCCATTTCTTTCTCCTTTTTACTTAACCGCTTACGATGGTTAGTTTTAGGGCATGTTTCATGTAGCATACCTTATGCTTTGCATGTGTGCATCCATTCATCTGTATTGCATGCACCGGGCTCGGCGCATCATACTAACTACATTGTATTTCAATTTCAATTTGAATACATGTACCAAACTGCATTTCACATGACATTCTAGAATAGTTGAGCCTATTTTAGCTGCATTTTCGCATGTGTTGCATTAGCCATCTTAACATGAACTAGGATCATGCATGATTTCTAACTAGTTCTCTGTTTTGGCTCGGAGTACACTGTGAGTGTTTACGCTTTAGCATATTGCATATGTGTTAATGCTTCCATGAAAACATGCTTGCCATGAGGCTAATTTCTTATTTGCGATAACTGCCTGAATGCCTGTGGGTGAAGGTTGGATTGCTTGAATTGGAACAATTCATCAAAATCCTCATTTTAGCCTACTTACGAGTAGCAAACTTCAAACCATTTTTAAACAAACGGATATGCAATGTTTTGTTCCAAATTAGGCGATCTAGTCTATACTTATATGCTGTGCGTATCACATAGTAATTCTAGCTAATTAACTGAAATAAGAGCACATGTGTTTTCAAAAACAAAATATCATGTTTAGTACAGACCGGTCTTTGATCGGGCGAGCGGGGGTGCTCATTAGATGACCTTTCCCTTTCGTACCCAAGTTCCCGAGCTGAGGCAACTTTGGTGATGACAGACACGTGGCCTTAGGCACGAGTCAGGGTTTCCTAAATTCTCCCAAAAGCCTAAGGCCATTTGACACAAAGGATTGGGCCAAAGGCCGTTTGACATAAACGAAATGGGCCTAAGGCCATTTGACACAAAGGATTGGGCCAAAGGCCGTTTGACATAAACGAAATGGGCCTAAGGCCATTTGACACAAAGGATTGGGCCAAAGGCCGTTTGACATAAACGAAATGGGCCTAAGGCCATTTGACACAAAGGATTGGGCCAAAGGCCGTTTGACATAAACGAAATGGGCCTAAGGCCATTTGACACAAAGGATTGGGCCAAAGGCCGTTTGACATAAACGAAATGGGCCTAAGGCCATTTGACACAAAGGATTGGGCCAAAGGCCGTTTGACATAAACGAAATGGGCCTAAGGCCATTTGACACAAAGGATTGGGCCAAAGGCCGTTTGACATAAACGAAATGGGCCTAAGGCCATTTGACACAAAGGATTGGGCCAAAGGCCGTTTGACATAAACGAAATGGGCCTAAGGCCATTTGACACAAAGGATTGGGCCAAAGGCCGTTTGACATAAACGAAATGGGCCTAAGGCCATTTGACACAAAGGATTGGGCCAAAGGCCGTTTGACATAAACGAAATGGGCCTAAGGCCATTTGACACAAAGGATTGGGCCAAAGGCCGTTTGACATAAACGAAATGGGCCTAAGGCCATTTGACACAAAGGATTGGGCCAAAGGCCGTTTGACATAAACGAAATGGGCCTAAGGCCATTTGACACAAAGGATTGGGCCAAAGGCCGTTTGACATAAACGAAATGGGCCTAAGGCCATTTGACACAAAGGATTGGGCCAAAGGCCGTTTGACATAAACGAAATGGGCCTAAGGCCATTTGACACAAAGGATTGGGCCAAAGGCCGTTTGACATAAACGAAATGGGCCTAAGGCCATTTGACACAAAGGATTGGGCCAAAGGCCGTTTGACATAAACGAAATGGGCCTAAGGCCATTTGACACAAAGGATTGGGCCAAAGGCCGTTTGACATAAACGAAATGGGCCTAAGGCCATTTGACACAAAGGATTGGGCCAAAGGCCGTTTGACATAAACGAAATGGGCCTAAGGCCATTTGACACAAAGGATTGGGCCAAAGG